ATTATTATATGAGATGACTCTCTGGAAGGGGGGAATTAAGGGAAATTTTAGATGGTATAAAAAAATTTCTATAAAAATTATTTTTTTAAGAAGGTGACAGATCCTACTGTAAAAATCATCTACTAAGCCCTAACTATATGTAAGATGCTGAGAGAAACTGAGACTCAGAAAAGTAAAGTGACTTGTCTAAAATAAACAGCTAGAATGTGCCAAAATCAGGTCTTGAATTTGATTCCTTTAACCCTAGTTCTTTCTTCACCCTGCTAACTATAATCTTGCTGATGTTTTCTATTATTACGTATTCATCAAAACAGATATGAAAGTCCTGATGCTTATTTAGGGTTTTTCTTTCTTTCAAAGCCTAATTTCAGTCTTAGCACCACATCCCACAAGCCTTCCCCAATCAGTCCACCTTCAATGACTGCAATTTCTGAATACATGTTGATCTTATTGCTTATACGTGGTAGAGGCAAACATACCACTCATCTATCATTTTAGCCTCTGTTGTGTTGTGATGAGGTATGTCAAATGTTTACCCATATAACAAATGCTTAGAAGATATCTTAATGCCTAGTAAAGGTTTACTAAATGCTCAATAATACTTCATGCATAATGCACTATGGGAAATACAAAGGCATAATCCCCGCCTTCAAGGAGTCTCTGACACAGTATGGGAAACAGGACACGTACATAAATAACTGCAATACAAAGTGTTATAGGCTGTGAAAGTTGCTATAAAAATTCAGTTGAGGAAGTAATCAGTTCTAGTTTAGTTGATCAAAGAAAGCTTCCTGGAAGATGCGACATCTAAGCTGAGCACTGAAACATTAAGTAGAATCTGGGGAAATAAGGTCTGGAAGAGGGAAAAGCATTCTAGATGGATAGAGTGGAATGAGCAAAGCCAAAGATATGTAAAAAGGCAAAAGATATTGGAAGAAAGCAAATCATTTGGTCTGAGCATTGGGTCTTTGTTGGGGACTGGTACAGAAGAAGGCTAGAAAGGTAGATTGGAACTAGATTGTGGAGAACCTTGAATACCAGACTAAACTGGAATTCTGAAACTTTCTCAATCAATTCACATCAGCACTTCCTCTTTAATATTCTTGGACAGGTTCTTAGGAAATTGAGAGGTTAAGGAGTCATATAGCCAGTAGGTATCAGAAACAAAATTCTGACTCAGGTCTTCCTAACTCTGAGGCTAGCTCTTTATCCATTAGGGCATACTATGCCTCTTAAGTTCCAGATTTATTCAAAAGGCAAAGAGAAATCACTGAAAATTTTTGAGCATGAAAGTGACAGAATCAGAGTTAATACTTTGGAAAGATTACTCTAGTGTTGGAGTGAAAGATGAACTAGAAGTGTGAAGAGATTAGAGGCAAAAAGACTTTTGGAAGCTATTACAGTATCACAAGCTTGAGGTGATAAGAGTCTGCAGTAGGAAGGTAGCAGCAGTGGGAATTAAAAGAAAGAGCAAGATGTAAAATACAACTTGAAAGAAAATGGAAACACCTGGCAACTAACTGGATGGGAATAGACAGCATGAAGGAAAGGGAGGAATGATAAAGAAGACAAAACAATTAGGTTACAAACATGGGTGCCTGGGAAAACGGTAGGACCATTAACAGAAACAGGCAAGTCAGAAGAAATTACTTGTTTCCTTTTGGGAAAGGAATTTGGAGGGATGTTTTTAACACCTTGAGTCTGGTGTGTTTAATGGGACAAGTAGAAGGAAATGTCCAACATACATTTAAAAAATCAGAGCTAGAGTTCAGGAAAGAGGGTAGATTAATTGGAGTTATCTGCATATAAATGATAACGAAATGAGATTGCCAAGGGAGAGAGGAAAGTGCTAAGGACAGGACATTAGGGAACAACTACATTTGAGGGGCAAGGAGAAAGAAGAACCAGAAAAGACAGAGAAAATAGTTGGAATGATAAAAGATCAGAGTTCAGAGCCACAGAAGCCAAGTGTGGAGAGGTTTAATGATAGGTGGTCAAAGGATCATTTATAGCTAGAGATCCTTTAGTCCAACCTCTTAATTTTACAGAAGTCAGTGCTACAGAGGCCAAGGAGATCAAGTGTTCTTCAGAAAACGCCACTGACAAAGAATTAGAAATTGAGGGGATGCCCATCAGTTGAGGAATGGCTGAACAAATTGTGGTATTTGATTACAATGGAATACTATTATACTATGAGAGATGACGAGCAGGATGCTTTCAGAAAAACCTGGATTTACACAAGCTGATGTAAAGTGAAATGTACTGTGTACAAAGTAACAGCAATATTGTAAGATGATCAGCTGTGAATGACTTAGCTATTCTTAGCAATACAACAATCCAAGAGAACTCTTAAGGACTTTTAATGAAAAAATGCCCTCTATCCCCAGAGAAAGAACTGATGATGTCTGAATACAGATTGAAGTATAATTTTTTGGAACTCGAAGTTTTAAAAATGAATGTTCAAAATTGTTTTTACATGTAACTGAGGAAAAATAAAAATTAAAAAAATTTTAAAAGGCCACTGAATTTGGCCGTTGGTGAGTTTCAGCAGATTTGTGGGGATAGAAGTCAAATTGAAGAGGGTTAAGGAAGGTAGGGTAGGAAATGAAGGAAGCAAGTATAGACTGTTCTTGGGAGAAGTGTGGGGCAAAAAGAATAATTGTAATTATACAGTAACTCTATGATGATCCTTTGCTCTGTGGTCCCTAAATTCTATTATTTTTTCTCTAGTGTTTCCAACCCTTATTGTTTCCATTAATAGTGAATGTTAGCAGAGGAACAATAGGACATTTTTAAAAATGGATTAAAATATTTTGTTTTAGTACAATAGACATCCAACAGAATGGAGGGATGTGTTCTTTCACTTTGACTGTGTGATACTAACATTGATATATTTGGCCAGATTTTTCTTTCATCTCAATGTTAACTTTTTGCATTGTTGTAACCACTGTGCACATACATTGTTCCTTTGGCTCTGCTTTCTTCCCTAGACATCACTTTGTACTAGTCTTCTCGTTTCTCTGAATTTGTATTTTTCAATCCGATGGCATCATAACATTCAATCACATTCATACACCATCATTTTATTTAGTCAATCCCCAAATGTCAGGTACACATTTCATTTCTGGTTTTTTGTTATCACAAATCATGCTGCTTTAAACACAAGGGGCTTATGACCTCCTGGGGTTATTGTCCTGGTAGTTGACTCTCTGGAGTCAACACAGATGAACATTTAAGTAATTTATTTTTGCATATTATCAATTGTTTTCCAGAACAATTAAACCAATTCAAAGTACCCTTCAGCAGTGAATTACCATAGGAATAAGGTTCATGTTCTTAGTAAATATTCCACATCTGGTCAATGGTGTGATTTAGACAAACCACTGCAATGATAGGGGCCTTTAGTGATGTCTCAGAGACTAGTTGTAAGGAAGCTATTTCATCTTGCTTCCTAAGTTTTTTGGAAATCTGAACGTGACTTCCCTAAATCTCAGCTTGCCAGACTGTCCTAGTCTGAAGCAAAAGGATTTAGATATGAATTTCTGTCCATCTAAGTAAAGATAACTTGATCAGGCCTTCCTTTATAACTGGTTTACAAACGAGTGTCTTCAAATATCCAACTATCCCACTCACCCAAGAGTACAAATGCTACTTTTCTACCAGTCATTAACTCTTCCCTCCTCCAAAACGGTATTCAGAATTTACTTTCACCATAAAGACTTTCCTAAATCTATAAAAATCAGATCATTACAGTAGTGCCTCATTCTCTCAGGATTTATGTATAAAATCTGACTATTCACTTTTGCACTTTCCATATTTCTAAATGTCCTTGGATTTTTTTTTTGAGGTGTCTTTTCTGTCTTCCAGTGCTAGAATATAAACTCCACGAAGGCAGAAATTCTCTTTTATTATAATTTCACTACATCCATGTGTAATGAGTGCTCGACTGATAAATGTTGACTGTCATAGTACCTAGCTGAAACATCTATTTTTGAGAGTTTCCATTTCCAGACTCTGGTTTTGAACTTTCCAGGTAATTTAGTGACATTTTACCTCTACTTCCCAGCGCATTATATCTATGATCTTGATTAAAAACCTTCCAGCTGCATTTCCTTTCCACAGCTATTACAAGGAGCCAGTCAATACTTGACCTTATCTAGGTAGTAATTTGGGTTAGAGGTATTCTTCTGAATAAGAGTGCTCTGTACTGCTCCTATTCTGTTTTTTTGGCTCCCCAAAAAATAGGCCTATTTCCCCTAAGACACCTGTTCTTTGCCATTCTGGCCCAGTTCTTGAGGTTAGTCTTATTCCATACCTATTGCTCTGGCTTTACAGGCACAATCAGCAGTATACCCCATTTATATCACATAGGTTAAAGTTAGAGAAAGGCCAGCAGCTTCTCCTTTTCCAGTGATTGGGTAGCACTAATTGACAGAATTTTTTTTTAAGAAACGGTTGTACTAACCATCATAGAATGGCTTCCCTCACAATCCTTGGAGGTGGGTAGGGAGTTCCATACTCATTTCAATCGTTTAGCTTCCTAAAAGCAAACAATCTACTTTTACTCCTAGTTATACAATCTTCAGAATAAAGTACTTTAAGATTTCATATAGAAATGCTAATTCTTCCTCCCTCCTATCTCTCTCCAAACCAGTCAGGACATTTTCCTTACTAACATAGGACAAGTAGCCTTTTCAAAAGCTTTCAACTTTTTTTTTTAATTGTTCTAAACTTGTGATTTTATTGGTTTAAGGAGCTCTCCCGGAGGAAATTCAGTCTACCAATGTAGGTGGTAAGCAACTATTCTGCAATTTTTAGTCTTCTGAGAGCAGCCTGGGACACTGAAAGATTAACGGACCTAGACAACCACATACCAAGTATGTGTCAAAGCTGGGACTTGAACCCAAGTAGTATCAACTCAAAAGCCAGCTAGCTCTTTATTCATTATGCTGTGCTACCTCTTTTCCATCTCAGCCCAAAAGGAATTACTAATAGCCCAGTAAACCATATCATCATTTTATTTATGGAACAACTGGACAAAAGACAAGACTGGTTTTCTTAAGAGGCCACAAGATGTACAAATCTGTTTCTAGAGAGGAATTGGAGGAGGCTAGGTTATTGCAAGCACTGGACAGAAACTAGGAGAATGCCTAATCCACCAGAGTTATTACTCTATGAGTGGTGTCTCCTCATTTCCCCTTTTGTGAAGGAGAGTGAAAAGGCAATATTTGTACAGGAGAAACAAGACAGGAACAATGTGTACTCTTGAGGCAGAGGGATCTAGGTCCTTGGTTTCTGCAAAACTCAGTGATAAGACTTATTAAACTCCTGAAGAGCCCAGCGCTTATTCTCAGTTGCCTGCTTCAAATGGGTATACTCCTTCACCAGCTTGTCAAACTCCTCACCGAGCACCTCATAAGTGCTCAAGATCTGGCGTGATTTCTCCATGTCTTGCTCCTGTAGGCGAATGGCCCCTTCCAGACTATCCCTAAGATAAGAAAAGAAAGGAAAAATGGAAGTGATGTGGCAACTGAGAAAAGAGATATCAAATGGAAAAGGGAGATGAGTCTAGAACATGATGGCATGCCAAATTCTTATCACTCACCTAATGAGGCGATGAACCTCTACCTTCTCAGCTGTGTAAGTGTCTGACAAAATCTGTAGCTCCTCCATTCTGATGAAAAGAAAGTTACCAAGATCAAAATCAATGACAGCAGAAAATCTAGGGACAGGACAGACAACCCAAATAGCTCAACTGCCTAGTACCAGTGTATGAACTGAGCAGATATGGCATATACAGCTTTACTTTGCAACTCTGGTAAAGTACCTATTTTGGAAAAGACTCAGAAGTAAACACTTAAATAGGGTGAATTCTCTGGGAAGTACAAAGGCTAATAATGGTATGCAACAATTGTTGAATGCTTACCACGTTACTAGGCACAGCAGAGGGCAAGGGGAAAAAGAAAAAAGCTTATGTGGAATTAGAATCCTTTAGGACGCCCCCCCACCCCTTGTCCATCTAAGGTTTACCTTAGCTTCAGAATCATGGCACTACACTTGATCTCCAAGTACTGGGCATTAATCTGATCCAGCTCCGATTGTGTTTTTAGTCGGTGTTCCTGAAGAAGCCTCTGTAGCAGTGAAAGACAGCGGAGGAGCACCTGAGGCACCAACAAGATAAAATAAATGATTGCTTAAGTCAGTGAAAAATGAAATGCAAAATGAAATCAGAAATATTCTCCTGAAGCTTCACCTTAAGGCCATAGTCATGCTGGGGTTAGAAATAAGGAAGAGACTCTCAAGCTATTGTTACAGGAGACAGACAGACAGACAGACACACACACACCTGAGAATAGGTGGAGCTCTGCTTTTCCAGTAGCACTGTCTGTTCCTTCTGCTGTTTCTTAGCATTCTGGTTCTCCTGCTTCTCACTTGTCAGCACATCTGCCAGCTGCCATACCTTTGCTGCTTTCAATGTTTCACTATCAGAATCTTCGGGGAGAAGAAAAGAACAAAGTCAGAGAAAGAAGACTCTGAGAGTGCAATCCCTAGTCTTCATGTCCCTCCAAGGCCATTTTTGGTGCCAGGGTTTCAAGGACCGCATGATGGGGCCTCTTCTCCTTTCCTAGAGATAATTCCACAAGCTCTTCCTTCCAGGTTATTTCCCACTCAGATAAAGATTTCCTTCATCTTTAACCCAAGATCCCATGTTTATGGCCTCCATTAGCAACAAAATGCTCCTGAAAACAAAGGTAAAGGGGGACTCTTGATCTCGACCTTCTCTTTCCAATAACACCCATTCTGCAGAAGGAGAACGAATGCTTCCTGCTCTGCACCTAACTGGACAAAGGGAAAACAGGAAGAATTTCATATTCTTTATTCCAGTAAATAAAGTGGAGAAACAGGTACAACAAGCACCTATTATTTCCAAAATTTTCTAACTTTTGCCCCTGATTTCAGAAGAGGAACATGCCAACTTTTTCCAAAGGATGGTGATGGGACACCAGAGGGGCCCCATGATGAATAGGAAGCCCAGAGCAAGAGCTCACCTGAATTGGGATCATGGTAGCAAAGCAAAGTGAAACACTTTTTCTTCAGTTGTTCCTCAATTTTTGGCTGGAGACACTCCCTCAATCTCATAAAATCCTACCAATTCAGAAACAAAGAGACATGAATATAATATCAAAACTATTGAGATTGACACAGAATAAGATATAGAGAGAGTCTTATTCAGCTCTCAACTTCAGCCTCACCACCACCTGACCTCTGAAGGGGGCATCAGTTCTAGCAAGTCTGACTTTTCCAGGCCCAGCAAAGATGGCATCTCTTTCTTTTGGCTCGGATCTAAAAGTCGAGTCAGTTCAGTCACCAGTAACCTCTGCTCAAGGGATTCATGAAACTAAAAAGAAATAGAAGTTTTCCTCATTCATCCTCATAAACCAGTTCTCTATACCTTTTCCTAGCCTAGGAACACGTTACCCAATTCAGACAATCCCCATGGTTCCTCTTAAACCTTTCTTTTCAAGTTTTTGAGACCTCCCACCTTCCCCTCAAAATTCCATATTCCATTTCTCTTCCCTGATTAACCTAGCTACTGACCTTTCTCCCTCACCTCATCAGATAAAACCTGACTTGGCTTGATCATACATTCCTGGCAAGTAACTCTTTAGGGCTAACCTTACCTCATTCTCAGTTCAGACAATACCTTCTTATCCTCTGGAGTCAGATTTGTATCCTGTGTCTTCACATAGTAGTCCACAAGCATTTCCTGTATAAGTCTCTGCAGAATCTCTGACCTGAGCCATGCTGTCTTTTGCAGCCGGACCTTCTTCCATGCCTGAAAGAAGAGACGATGCTAGGATGGAGTACTAAGATGGCTACTGTGGCATTTCTTCCTTTCTTTTGTGAAGAAATCCCTTTTCCACCCCTTCTCCCTCAGCCCTTACCTCAGCTTGCTCTTCTGCAAGGGTGGTGCTTAAACCACTCTCATCCATGTATTGAGAGAGACTTAGCAGGAGCTTGCTAAAATGAGGGTTCTGCAAGAGGTCTTCTTCAGTCAGGTTACAAGGTGGCAGCTGTTTGCTGCATACTTAATGGTACATCCATCCCAGGGAAGATAAGTAAAATAGGCATCATTGGTTAAGTTAAGACTTTGCCTTCTGCAGCCTGCATCATGCTAATTTGATTCACCAGAGAGACATTTCAGAAATCCTTATCTTTTTTTTGTTGTTAAAGGGGGTGGGGAACAAGTTTTAAAATTCTACTGGAATAATATTAACTAATACTTGAGGTAATACACCTAGGATGTACCAAGATACTAAAAGTGATTTATGTTAAAAGAGATTAAAAGAAAGCTATAAAAGAAGATACTTAATAAAGGATTACAAGATGAATCATCAAAGGAAGAAAGTTAAAAGACCTTACAAAATGGAAATGAAATTGAGAATTACACAAAGTATTGAAAATAAGGTAATATTCAAAAGTATCACATGACCCAAAATTCCTCTTCACACAGGATTAAATGGTGTTCTTGGAGTATTTTAAAAGACAATTTTTATTGTATTTACAACTAAAGATGAAAGATAAATTGTTGTCTTACTTTTAATTAAAATAACAAAAAAAGTTTAGTCACTAAATACCCACTCTCATGAACACATTTAAGTAATTCATGTTGATGCTGTAGAACTGTAGTCCTTCTATACTATGTCTGTATCATGCAATTATATGCAACAGAAGATACTGAGATTCTAATTCCCTGGGTATTCAATACATAAGATACCCATACACATAAGAAACACATATCTGCACTATGCTGGAATCTCTTGTTTTACTCCTATTTAGCTAATACCTCCACTAAGTTTCCCTACATGGAATAAACTCGTGGCAAAGGGAGTTGCTCAGGACAAGCTCTACTCCTAATTCTTAGGTAGCTGCCTAAAGAGAGCTGCAACCAATCCTCCTGGGAGTATCCTTTAATCCTCATGAATTCTAGTTTCCCCCAAATTACTATAGGCACTAAGATACTTTTGTTATGGATGCCATAGTGATAGATAATGACAGTTCTTATGAGCATGGAAATCGAGAAGCTAGAAAAGTGCACCCTGAATAATCATAACCCTTTGCAAATGGTTATCTTTACCTTGCTGGAGTAATTCCATACCCTCTCCAGGTAAGCAGAAATCTCCTGATGCCATCTCTTCCGTGGGACTTCCACCTGTTAAAGCAACAGAAAACAAAGGGGTGAAATGAGGGGCACCTCAGTACCTTCATCCCATAAGCTTGTGCTGAAGGCCAAGAATGGCCCTTAAAGGAAGGGAATGTTTCATGCATCCTGGGAACCAAGCTCTTAGATAATCGTCTGTATATGCTGACTAGCAAGCAACAAAACACTTTCCACACTGAGTCCTTTAATCTTTCCACTTACTTCTCACTGCCTGGGGGGGAAAAATCCTCCTTGAAGGATGTTTTCCACATTATCATTAAGGTCTGAATAAGTAGGGGTTTTCCCCCCATTGGGTCCAAGTTAAAACTGAATTGCCCCTTCCTGGTTATGAGTGAAATGGGAAAAGAAAAAAAAAAGAACCATCAAAATCTGCTTCTTTTTCCAGTCAAATAACTCGGCTAAATTTCAAATTCCAAAATAATCTTTTTCTGCTTCTCTAGCCATTCCTTTCATCCTGAGATCTGTAGGTACTTTCTGATCATTAACTCCAGAGTTGTCCTCTGGAGTGACAAAAAATAACAACGGGTTTTCATATAACAACATTAGTAAAGCGTACCTGGAGGAAAGAGCAAGACAACAAGACTAGTCAGTGGGGTCAGTGCACCCACAGTAACAAAAAGGTATAGTTAATGCTGCTCAGACATGAGCTGTCAGCACTTTGACAGAACCTCAAGTGCAAGCTAACAATTACATCAACACCAGACACAGTTAAGTTGGGTACAGCCTGGACTCGGAAGACTTGGGATTTTTTTCTTGCCAGTTATTTTTCATTCCTTTGATCTCTCCCCCTCCTTTTGTTAAAAAATTAAATGCATTTAGGGCCTCACCAACACCAGTGACAACTGAACTTTCCAAAGGTTATTATGATTTAGTACTACTTGATGTTCACAAAGAGTTTGGTTCATTTGGTATTTATTAGTTATACAAAAATTGTTATTCATTTGTTTTGTAATATAGCCTAGAAGATCTAGATGAAGAGTAGAGATGCTAGGATTTAATTTGCAGCTTGACTGTTCACTCTGTATATAAACTGAAGAGAAACACTAATCTGCTTCATAATTTTTCTACCTAGGATAATTATTCTTTAAGTTAAATATTCATGAAGCCCTTTAGATAAAAGCCACAATATTAATAACTGATTTGCAAACGGTAATTTTTCTTGTTAATGTAATGGTTAATACTACACTATTCCAAGGACTGAGATTTTGAAAACTCCTTTAAAAATGTTTTTTTTCTTTCAGTGACTAACTTTATATTTATGGGTATATCCAAACTTTGTTAGACTGACCCAGACACAAACAGTCCACCGTCAAGTCCAGGCTCCAGCCCTTTACGGATTGACCTGGGAAGCCCACAAGAACCCAGGGGGACCTGTATGCTCAGAAAAGGCTTCCACTCAGTCAGCCCTTCAGTGGAAGGATTTTAATACCGGATGACATAAAGCCAACTATCTGTACGGGCTAGGTCAACATCGACCTCTGAAATTTAAGCACTAACCCAAACGCTCCTTCTTACCCCAGTCCAGTAGACTTGACTCAAGCTCTTGGTGCCTGGGGTGGGGAGGGTACTTTTCTTTAACAGATTTAGCTCTGCAAATACCATGGGGAGCGGTTAATGGTGCCTTAGATCGCAGCTAAAGACCGTGCACCTGCAGAACACAGACCAGTTACACGCTGTTACAGGGACCGGGGGCGTTCGTTTAAACGTTCTGACTCGGGCGTCTTTCAAATTCTTAGCGCTGCTTTTGCACGCTGCACTGAACGTCAAAGGGATTTTACAGCTATTTCACAAGAGATGACCCTTACAAGGCTCCGGGATGAATCAAAATGCGCAGTGAGCACCCAGTCTCCACCTCGCTTCTGCTCAGACGGAAAGACTAGTGACGCGCCTGGATTCACACCAGCGGAGACAGCGGGTGACGGATCCAGCCCGGGGCACGCGCGGAGCTTGGCCGGGTGGCGGCGCAGTGCGCGTGCAACTCCCGCGGAGCCGGGCGGTAGGGGCGGGGCGCGGGGGAGCCGCTGTGCGCGCGCAGCTCGCAAGCAGGCTGGAGCCACAGGCTCGCGGAAGCTCTGCTCAGGGGCGAGCGGAGCGCAGGGCGCGACCGACCCAACGCCAGAGCGTATGGCGCGCGCGAGGCGGAGGGAAAACGGTTACGTTCTGCGCCTGCACCCCTAGGATTCCCCCACCCCCATCCAGCGCTCCCTCGGGGAATCCAGCCTCCCGCTTGGAGGCAGGAGCATGACTGGATTGACCTCTGGCTAGAGGCCTGTGATTGTCTCGCGGACTACTCCTCCCTCCCTCAAATGCTTCCAAACACACCTCAGAAGCAAAATCCTGTGGCCGCGCCGCTGAGGCGATGAATGGGGTCGGTTCTGGGAGGCGCTGGCTTCCCGAAGGCCCTCCCAATCCCTCCCGGGTCCCCCTATGTCAGACCGGAACTGTCCTCCTGGACCCCCTGTAGGGGTGGTAAAGTGGAACAAGGGAAAGCCTCCCTGTCCTCCACGCCCCTGCAGAGCCCCAAGAAGGCCTGCGGAGCGCTAGAGAAATCGCGGGAAATCCCGCAGCAGTCTCCCCGCAGGCTCCGCCCCCTGGGCCCTTGCCACGCCCTCTTCCGGGCGCTCTATAAAAGGGGGGCTGACGGCCGCGGCCTTGGGAGAGAGCTGCAGGGAAGCTTTAGTGATTGTTTTGTGTGACTCTGGTCTTGGCTGGTGAGTAGGCTTTAAGGCTAAACGATTCTTCTTCCAGAGCAGAAAATCGAGTTCCCTGACCAGGGGGAACGAGCTTTGATTTTAGAGTCAGACCAAGTCTGATATTTGCAAAACCAGTGTAAGATCTTGGGAAAATCATTTTGAGTCTCAGTTTCCTCACCTGAAAAATCAATAAAACGCATTAAGCACCTACTATGTGCCAGGCACCGAACTAAACGCTGAGGCTACCAAAAAAGGCTTATAATCTAAATGAGGATGTTGGATTCCTAATGAGAGCCTTTGCACCTCTAAAATCTATGGTTCTATTCCAATTCCTTCAAGGAAGGGGCAACTGATTAAGTGGCCTGCTCACTTAACAAAGGTAGTAAATAGCAGGGCTTGTGGTAAACCTAAGTTTAGACAGAAAAATATAGGTTGTCTCTCCACTTCCTGCTCCTTCCTACTCAGACTCTCACTTTTCATACTAATGCTCCTCTCTACTTTTTCATCTTTCAGTTTTCATCCATTTTATTTTTCCTTCAAAGTAGATTGTAGTCAAGTAGTTGAATTGTTCTGGTTGCTGGAGAACATTTGTGACTGCCCTAACAAAAATAATCAAATCTCTGATCTGGAAAGAATCTTTTATAATGCAAAACATTGCAAAATGGGTTGGGGGGGAAGGTCATCTTTCCCTGAAGTTCTCTTAGGATTTTGCTAGAGGTAACTTGTCTGTAATGCATAGGTGTGTGAATTATTTGGGACGGACAGTAATTTTGATAGAATTTCATCTTGTAAAGAATCTTTTTGAGAGTAGAGATTGTTTCATTCTTTGTCCTTGTTTCCCAAGCATCTAGCACTGTGCCTGGCACATAGGTGCTTTAATAAATGCTTGTTTAGTGATTGACAGCAACCATAGGGGTACTGGTTCTGCTGACTCAGAGTAGGTGAATTTGACCAGATGAAACTGGATTGAGCCAGTTTCCCCAACTTCAGTTCTGTCAGCTTGAGGGCTAGATTTTGTGCCATAGGCTTGTTTCGTTGTTTTAATTCCGAGGGTTTTTTTTTATTAATTTATTTTGATTTATCAACAATTACTTCCATAAGCTTTTGAGTTTTAAATTTTTCTCCTCCTCCCTCCCTCACCCCTCCCCAAGATGGCTCGAAATCTGATATAGGCTATATATATACATTCCTATTAAACATATTTTCCCATTAGTCATGTTGTAAGGAAGAATTAAAACCAACAGGAGGAACCACCAGAAAGAGGAAACAAAACAAAACAGAAGAAAAAAAAAGTAAATAGTATGCTTCTATGTGCATTCAAACTCCATAGTTCTTTCTTTGGATGTGGATAGCATTTTCCATCATGAGATCTTTGGAGATGTCTTAGATCCTTGCATTGCTGAGAAAGGGCTAAGTCTATCGACATTAGCCATCGAAATTCTGAGGTATTTTAGCATGGATATTACTCTAACAAAACATGCAAAAGTTGTACCTCTTAAAGAGCTTACTTCAATGGCCCTTAGAGATACTGTAGTAGCTGTTGGCTTCTGGGAAGTTCTCCTACTCCCCCACTGATGTGCTTCCAATTAAAAATCAGCCAATCAATTCAATTAGCTATTAGCAAGAGTATTTATTTACTAAGGCGGTACACTGAGACAGATAGTATAAAACATTCCCTGTAAAAGCTTGAGGCACACTCTCCCATATATATACACAGGAAAGAGTAGGCTCAAACTTATATACGTAGGATTAATTTATAACTATGTACTGGTAATTTATAACTATGTACTGGAATTATGGCAGAAGGGGTCATGCTTTTTGAGGCTGCCTGCTTTGACCTTTGCCCCTTCCCTCAAAAAGAATTTGGGTCTCATTTGTCTATGGGTTCTACAAAAAACCCACCTTGGACTTTCCTTGAACTCCCCACTTGATCAAGGAAGTCTCTAGCTTCTCTGGAGGCATCATCTCAGTAATCCTCTCAACTGGCCTTTCATTGTGGCCAATTCTCTGTTACCCTTAACCTAGCCCAGCCTTCCATTGCTTATTACCTCCCAAGGCTCCCTCCCCCTACTTTCCACCCTTAACCACACCTTGATCCCATTCTCAACCTTCCAGTCACTCCCATCAAGATCCTCCCTAGACACCTCCTGCTACACCCCTTCTCCAGTTACCCCAAACCATGTGGCCACTCCTAGATCCCTCCCACAGTCTTTCTGTATATAAGGTCCATCTGGCCTCCATTAAAGTGCTCAGATTCTTTAAGAGTCTAGCCAATGGCTGAGATTTACTCTAGCCTGCTTGTCAATACGATTGTCACAAATGTTCAGATTCCTTAAGAGTCTGGCCAATATGGCGAATCTTTAATAAACCTTACCTTTGGCTGAAAGAATGCTTGGGTTGAATTTATTCTGCTAGGACCCGGATCACTGTTTCGGAGTCCCACTACCCCTAAACCTCTAAAACCTCAATACTGTGATTTGTCCTTGTCCCTGCTCCATGTTTGATATGCTATCTCCTATAAGTCCAGTCTCTCTGACCCAAGGTGATACTATTGCTCCACTTACTCCAATGATGTTGTCAGTAGGGGTTGGGGAGGGAGGTTAAGAGGGAAACAACCCCCAACCAACCAAGAGCAACTCCCTCTCAGGGTCTTAGCTCCAGCTCCTAAACTAGAATGGAACTCTTGAACTAGAACTCTTCCACCTCTGTAATAGTTCACTAGTTAATTAGTTTGATACAGAAATTGTCCCAGCTATTTAAAGTCCTCAGAGGTGTGATTGGCATGTTTGGTTAGTCTAATCAGCCTTCCTTGACCCAAAGAGGTTCACACTTCATAAAAGAGATCATAGAGTATATAGACCATCTTCTTTGTATTTAAAACTTCATCATGCCCTTACACAAATTAAGGTGGGAGTTATGTGGAATCTTCTCTCTCATACAAGTATCATTTAAGTCCACAATGAACAGTTAGTCACTAAACATTTATTATTAAGGACCTACGAATCTTCAGTCCTAGCACTAGCCAAATGCTAAGCACACACAAAAACAAAAAAAGGCAGTTCCTGCTCTCAAAAAAGCTCACAATCTAATGGGGGAGACAAAGCAGTCACTAAATTACAAAGAGTTGTAGCAAATCAAAAGCAAAATAAAGAATTAATAAATTATTGCTGTGAAACAGCCTAATTAATCCTCAGAAAACTAGAAAAGACCTTTGGAGAGACGATAACAGAGGAGTAGTTGCTATAGATTGCTCTACAATGCAGCATAGGCTTCTTGAAGTAGTTAACCATTGTTATTAAGAAAATAAATGCTTCTCATGTATACAGATACTTCTTATTTTATGAAAATTTGACTCCTCGGGGGAGTGGCAGAACCCTACGTAAGCTCTGGCCTTTGCCTCTAACTTTGAGCAGGCAGCGAGGGTCCTCCAGTCCAGGCACTGAAGGTGCTTTGGCTTCAGCCACAGAGCTGCAGAGTGGGCAGTGCCACTGGGAGTCCCTCAAGAAGAGAAGGAGATCTTCAGAGGGTTACCTTATGGTGAGAACTGTATAATACAGTATAAAGACCACTGTACTAAAGATTGGAAAAGGTAATTTTTGCTGATGAAATCCACTTTTTCATTCACCGAAACTATCAGAAGAAATCCAACTGAGCCTATAAGTTTTGGGCATCTTCATCAGACTGTAAAGCATCAACCCAAAAATGTTTGGGGCTTTTTTTTTCTTCCAGTGCTGCTGAAAGTCTTGTCTTTATTGAGGGAATGATGAACTCTGAAAAATATATTGATATAGAAGTAGCTGGGTGGCACAGTGGATAGAATACTGGATTTGGAATAAGAAAGACCTGAATTCAAATCCTTCCTCATTCAAATCCCCTGGAGAAGTCATTTACTCTCTCACAGCCTCAGTTTCCTCATCTGTAAAATGGGAATAATAGTAACACCTACCTCACAGAGTTGTTGTGAGAATCTACTGGGATAATGTATAAAGCACTAAATTCTATTATTATTACTGAGAAGATGAATTGTTCTGGAATTATAGAAATCCTCAAATGTACATGGCATACTGAACTGTAGTCTTATGCCTTGCCATACATCATGAAAGGTTAAGAAATTTAAGAGATAAAGAAAAACATGCTTCTGAAGCCTGCCTAATTTAAACCCCATTGAAAACATGTGAGCTATGATGAAAGCTAGACTTGGAAACTATCAAAGTTATATTTAATATCCAATGTGATAAAAGCTTTCATGATGAGTAAAAGAATATCACTATCTCTTAAATTAATGAAAAATTGAGGCCATTCACCAAGAACTCCTTCTTCTCCCCTCCTCATCTTACATTACCTAGAAGCCTTCTGCTGCTCTTTCCACCTTCACTCCTATCTTATGTGAAGAAGTGGCCCCCTAACATCCCAGCTTTCTCACTCATCTTCAATATCTCCCTATTTACCATCTGCTTCCCTACTGCCTACAAAAATGCCCATATCACCTCAAACCTCAAAAAAACCCCTCTTATTTGATTTGTCCATCCCTGTTAGTTATAATCCCATATCCTTCCTTTTGTGGTTAAACTCCTTAACAAGGCCATCTACAATTGGTATGCCACTTCCTTTCCTCTCACTCTCTTCTTAACCCTACAGTTTAGTTTCCAACCTCATTCTGCTGAACCTGCTTCCTCCAAAGTTACTAACGATCACTTAATTGCATTTTCACAGTCCCCATCCTTGACTTTGAGGCAGTCTTTGGCACAATCATCTTCTTCTTGATGCTGTCTTCTGTCTAGGTTTCCCTGACACTACTCTGCTTGCCTTCCTACCTGTCTGACTTCCCTATCAGTCTCCTTTGCTGGATCTTCCAGTGATGCCTGGTAACGGTCGGTATCCCCCAAGCCTT